AACGACTATCTCTTGTTATTAAGCTAACAACTTATGTAGATACAGTGGTGCTATCGTCAATCATACATTACAGTTTTAGAACAAGGTTTACTAGTTTATGTATTTCAACCGATATGGGAATACTAAATTCAATGTAATTCGTTCAATGTTTAAAATCTCTAATTAAATGATGTGTTAGTGTTTTTATGATTTATAAATTATAACTTGAATAATACTAGATGATACCAATGCGCATGCGCGGGATGAGTTTTTATATTAACGTTTATTCGGCTTTAACATTTTGTAACACTATATTAATTGTAAAATGACAAATTCAAATGTTGGACTGTTAAAGATATCATATGTCTGAATGTTTGGGGGTATGTCGGTTTCGGTTCGATAAGTGGTACTATCGTCAATCATACATTATAGTTTCTGAAACAAGGTTTACTAGTTTATGTATTTCAACCGATATGGGAATATGTTCTAAATTCAGTGTAATTCGTTCAATGTTTAAAATCTCTATTTAAATGATGTGTTAGTGTTTTTGTAATTTATAAATTCTAACTTAAATAATACTCGATGATATCCATGCGCATGCGTGGGATGAGTTTTTTATATTAGCGTTTATTCGGTTTTAACATTTTGTAACACTAAAATTTTTATTGATAATAAAATGATGGATTCAAATGTTGGACTGTTAAATATATCATATATCTGAGTGTTAGGGGGTTTGTCAGTTTCGGTTCGATTGATACGGATTTTCAAATTTTTGGTATTATGTTCATCAGTCTCATTCGGGTTTTACTAATTATTGGATTGGATTCAATTTGATTCTTTTCGGATTCGATTTGGATCAATTTGTAACCAAAATCTGAAATCGTCCCAAAAAAGTATTTTTGAAATTAAAATGTTTAAATTATTTGTAAATATAATTTAAGTTAAAACACTATTCATTTATTTGAATTATTCGGAAATATAATTTAAACACTATTCATTTATTTTATTAATAAAATATGAAACCAAATAAATGATAAATAAAAAATTAGTTAAACTATCTAAACTAACTAAATGATATCAAAATAAAAAAATAAAACAAACTACAAAAAAAAATTCGAATACAATAAAATACTAGGTGTTTTGCCCGCACATGCGGGTTTAATTATCTTTTAATCAATTTAAAAATCATCAAAATAAATAATTATTTGCATCCAAAAAAATTTGATCGGAAACATTAAACTTTTCTACATGATAAAGTTATTCACAAATTTAAAAAAAACTATTTTTTTTCCTTTAAAACTTTGAAAAATCTAAAGTCTATTTCATTTCTTCTTAATTGATAAAAAATATAGAAATCTATATTTCGATTTGAAAAATTGAATCGATAAATATACATTCAAAAATTAATCGTACAAAAAGAATAATATTAGTTTAGATAATAATACAATATATTTGAATTTATTTTTATCAAATACGTATTTTCTTTCTTTTTTAATGATCTTTTATTTTATATGATTAATTCATGTTTAAGGTTTAACTAATAAAATATAAATATAAATTTAATTTAACGTGTGTTCTGAAAAATAACTTCACAAATATATACATATATCATTATATTATTATATTCTTTTAATAAATAATTTTGTATTATATTTTTTCAATTTTCTCTTTTGAATTATATACAATTAAAATTTTTATTTTATGAATACTTATTTATGTGTTTTTTTGAATTTTTTAATTAAATATATTTTCCGGATAACAACACAATATATATAAGAATTATCTTTTTCTTTTAAATATATATTTAGATTATGGATAACTCTTATCATTATTATAATTTAAATCATTTATCTAATCAAATAAGTATTAAATTTGTTTTTATTATATTCATTAAGGGTATAATCGATATTAACCACTCCAACTTTTAATATGAGAGCTCTGTTGCGAAAAATCACTTCGCAAATAATAGTATAGATTTAAATTACCTTGACATATAAAAACATTAGCATATTATACTAATGTCATATATCTCGGGACCTAGTTTAGAATTCGGTTCGATTCAGATTATAACCAAATTCCAAAGTACGAAGATCATAATAATCTTGTTCGGATAAATTAAAATAGCTAGATTGGGTATTATGAAGAAACAAATATCAGATGAATGATCAGATCTCTCATTCTTCAAACAAACTCAAAAGAATGTTATTGGAATCTTGTCATGATATTTTATTAAAAGCTTTTTAGAAATAAATATCTAGACTATATTATTTGATTTGAATGAAACCATATATAAATGTATATAGTGCTTCCAAGGTTAAAAATCACTTCGATTTGAAGAAGTGTAGTTCCCGGATTGTCAGGATCAAATAACATATTAGAAACTAATTATTTAAAAGTTAATTTGTATACATAAAATTATATAAATTAAAGTAAAGACATACAAAACTAATACATTTTCTTAATTTACAATCTTGTTTTTGGCAAATAAATCAAAACAGCCATTTTATTTACTTTATATGGTATATAATTAAATGTTACTGATATTGACATATATATAGTATATTTTAATTTATATTTATTATTGACACTTCCTACTCATATAATTTTATTTACATTTGTATATTTTTTCTAACAAAAAATTGAATAAATCACAAAAAAAAATGTGAGCTTGTTCCAATACGAATTTCAATATTAAAATATTAAGATCTCCATAAATTTTCACTGCAAATTTTGCAATTAACATAGTTATATATTTTACATAGTATAGATTTTAATTTAAATGATATACATATATATATATATATATGAATATTTATTATAAAACTTCATATTCATACGATTTATAATCATTTGTATCTTACTTGAACAAAGAAAAATTAAACCATTGATCAAAAAAATTCAATGCGGTACTTTTACCATTTTTAGTAATTTATAGATGTTTCAAAAAAATCTAAATATAACATATAAGAAAAAATCAATTTTTTATTATACACTTGATGTGATTGTTTAATTATTTTTAATAATAGAAAATTAAACAAAAAAATGATACAAAAAATTGTTATTGAATATATATATTATTTATATTCATTAATTGTCATATATATGTTAATCTTATTAGGTAATTACATAGCTTTTATTTATGGAAAGAACTCAAAAAAGGAATATTCTTTTCTACACTAATAATTAATTTGATATTTATTTTAATAAAAACTATAATATATAATTATATGGACCAACTGGTTTTTCTAAGGATTCTAAGAATTATCCTGGTGATGACACGTGTCTACAAACACATGTTGCAATGTTCCAGAATTAATATATAGGAGATATTATTCAAATATATGGATTTACTAATAGATTTAATTTTTTTTTATTTTAATATATTTGAAATGTTCTTTTTTGTTTAGAATACAAAGACTTCAAATTTGTTGATACTAATTAAAGTTCACTAAATTTTATGTGTTTTAAATTTATACAGATTTATAAATCAATTAAAATTCATAAGCGAATAACAATGATTTTAATCTTTCTTTTATAAAACATTAAATAAAATCTAACAGATTATCATGAAAAAATAGCAAAAAAAAAAAATTTAAGGTATATTGTAAAGGTTCTAGAATCTACATACATCAACTCATTTAAAATGATTTTATCTCTTGAATTTGTAAATTATAAAACCTATAGAATAGAATGTAAAACCAAGATTGAATAACACCAAATCATCGCCAACCCAACACTAAATCTATATTTTAGGGTGATTTACACACAATTTTTTTTTAATTCAACACTAAAATTCATACTATTTTAGTGAAACATTATAATTTTATATAAAATTTCGTACGATTCTTCACATTAAACATTATTCATTTATTTTCTTAATAAAATATGAAATTAAATAAATGATATAAAAAATAAATACATATAAAATAATAAATCAATTTTTATAGTGAAATATTAAATATATTGACATAAATTATTTAAATCTGTTATTTCATTGAGAAAATCTCTCAAGTAGACTTTTTTAAGTTTTTATCACAAAAATAGACCTCAAAAACTAAAATGACCAAAATAAAATTTTTTATTTTGAAAATATTATGTTTTTTTCTTCTTTTAATATTTGAAATTCTACCCCCAAAACCCCACTCCTCAACTCTAAACAAGAATGTTTAGAACTAGTTAACCCAAAATGTATAAGTGTATATTTACTTATTTTTTATAAACCATTTAAATCTATTTTGGTCATTTTTATATTTAAGTTCTATATTTGTGACAAGAACTTTTTAAAAGATTATTTCTCTAAATAATATTTTAATATTATTATATATGGAAATAGTATATATTTTATTTTAAAAATATTTTTGTAATGTATTTTTATGTAATATATTTACATAATAATAAGTATTATATTTAAGTATTTAAAATAACAAAGTTATAATTTAATAATAAAATAATATAAAATATTTAATGTGAAATTTAGTGTTGTGGTTCGAGAAAAAAAACTATTTTAGTTTTAAAACTATAATAAAATAGTATGATTTTGACAGTTAAGTAGTGGTATGAGTTCGAGATTACCTTTGACGCAGCGGTGTTGTTTGGCCGCTCGCTATGCATCTCCACCTCTCTGTTTGATATCGACATAATAGAGCGGTCAAAGGTAACCGCTGCGAGCTCGGGAGCGGCTTCATGGAGTGGGAGAAAGAAGCCGCTGTGCTA